AGAACTAAGTCTGAAACCCAGGCTGTATTTCTCAATTCAACTTATTTTATTTATTTATTTATTTAATTGGAGTATAATTGTTTTATTACTTTGCCAACAAAGGTCCATCTCGTCAAGGCTATGGTTTTTCTAGGAGTCATGTATGGATGTGTTGGACTATAAAGAAAGCTGAGCACTGAAGAATTGATGCTTTTGAACTGTGGTATTGGAGAAGACTCTTGAGAGTCCCTTAGACTGCAAGGAGATCCAACCTGTCCATCCTAAAGGAGATCAGTCCTGGGTGTTCACTGGAAGGACTGTTGTTGAAGCTGAAACTCCAATACTTTGGCCACCTGATGCAAAGAGCTGACTCATTTGAGAAGACCCTGATGCTGGGAAAGATTGAAGGCAGGAGGAGAGGGGGACAACAGAGGATGAGATGGTTGGATGGCATCACTGACTCAATGGACATGAGTTTGAGTAGGCTCTGGGAGTTGGTGATAGATAGGGAGGCCTGGTGTGCTGCGGTCTATGGGGTCATGAAGAGTCGGACACGACTGAGTGACTGAACTGAACTGATAATTGCTCTATAATGTTCTGCTGTGCAAGGAAGTAAATCAGATATATATAGACATATATCCTCTCCCTCTTTGCCCTCCCTGCCACCCCTCCCCCCATCATATCCCTCTAGCTCATCACAGAGCACTGAGCTGAGTTTCCTGGGCTTTATAGCAGGTTCGCACTAGCTGTTATACACATCATAGTGTATATGTGCCAAACCTAATCTCAAATGTAGGAATTTAAGTATGCAGCAAATCCTTCAGAGATGCAAACGTTTCTACTCAGTAGACGACTCCAGTTTCTGAGGTTCCCTTGCCTGCCTTTCTGCTCAGTTGCCCAGTCCAGGATACTTGCACGTGCTCCGCTTGGCAGAGCATGCTCTGGTTGGCCTGGCACACTCTTCTCCCAACTCCCACCCCAACACTTGCTTTTCATCTCTCAGAGCACAGATATAGATCACATCTTATGGTTCTCTTAATAAAGTACCTCTCTTATATAACCCTGCCATAATTTTACATTATGAGATTACTTGATTAGTCTGTCTCTTCAACTGGATCACCAAAAAACAGTGACAAGCACCCTGAATGGTGTTATCTACAAGTATATGTGTGTGTGCTCAGTCGTATCTGATTCTTTGGGGCCCTATGGGGTTTAGCCCACCAGATTCCTCTGTCCATGGCATTCTCTAGGCAAGAAGTCTGGAGTGGGTTGCCATTTCCTTCTCCAGGCAATCTTCCCAACCCAGAAAATGAACCTGAGTCTCCTGCATTGGCAGGCAGGTTCTTTACCACTGCGCCACCTGGGAAACCCTAGGTCCCTTAGAAAACTATATTCTAATTTTGCAGGTTTAAAGAAGAAAGGATATTGTATTGCCTCTAGGATCCTGTCCCCCCTCAAAAGACTAAAGTCTGTGGCTAGCTGGGTCTTCAGATAGGAACGTTCCTTCAAAGCACTTCCGCGTGTTTCCTCTGGGGTGACTGTTGGCAGCTCAGAAGAGGCGGCTGGCCTGATCAGGGAGGGCCCCACCTCTCTGGGCATCCATCCTCCTGATCCTGTATCAGTTGCGGATGTCTGTGCATTTGTTTGTCTGCTCATCATCCATTTCTGGTAGTAACTCTCAGATTTTCCTTTGAAGAATTACTCCCCCAGCTGCCCCCACCTTTGCTCCCAGACTTTGTAGTTTGGATAAAACTAGCCACAGCCTCCCCACTTCCAAAGCTAGGTCATATGAACCAAGCCTGATGAAACAGCATATTTCATTTTACTGGCCACAGAGTTTTATGGATTGGGATGCAGCTTGAGCCGGATCTTTGAAAATTATCCTGGGAATCTTGCTGTGCCTCCTGAAGGAAAAGCTGCTTCTTTCTACTGGGGCTGCTAATCCAACAAGACATATTTCTGGAATTTCTGCAGCCAGGTTTCTACTGCAAAGAGAGCATCTGCCTTAGAATGCAGCCAACAGAGAAAAGAGCAGAGATAGAGACACAGATTCCCTGCAACACTATTTGAGCACCTAGATATATCCATGCCCACAGCCACAACTCTGGGCTCTTTAAATTGCCTGAGCCCATAAATTCTCTTTCTGTTTGGCAAATTTGAATTGTATTTCTTAAAAAAAAATCCTAATCAGTAAGTACCCATTGTTACCAAATGGGAAACATACTGGTGAGGGATAAATCAGGAGTCTGGGATAAACACATGCACACACAACCATATATAAGATAAATAATCAGCAAGGACCTGCTGCATAGCACAGGGAACTCCACTCAATACTTTGTGATAACATATATGAGAAAAGAATCCAAAACAAAATTAATATATGTAAATGTATAACCGAATCCCTTTGCTGTACACCTGAAACTAACGCAGCACTGTAAATCAACTACACTCCAATACAATTAAAACATTTTAAAAACTTTAAAAAAGTAATACCCACTGGATATACAGAGCTTATTACAAAGTATCAAAAACAGAGCTTATTACATCCATGTTCATGAATGTCAGGTTCCATGCCAAAAGTTAGAAATGCAGAGATAAGCTGGACCTAGTTCTTGCCTTCGAGAAGCCATTCTCTGGTGGAAGAACAGTCACAAGAGACAATGACAGTGCAGGGGGCAAGTGCTATAACGTGGGTGCGTGTGTAAACAGAGAGGGGGGAACATGCTCTCCTACCATTCAGGCGGCCCAGAAGGCTCCACAAAGGAGTTACATGGACAAGAATTTTTAGAATGTTCTTGTGTTGAGTTTTGTCTAAAAGGGGGAAGAGTCATAGTTTATGCAAAGTCATAGGAAGTATGAAACAGTATGTTACATGAACAGTTGAGTCTCTGAAATGTAGGGTGAGTCAAAGATGACTCACCTGGATGCTTCATGAAATTTGGCAAAACCCCAAGACATTACTGACCAACTGGCAAAGAGTAAAGGGATCCAAACGCAGTTTGGGAGCTGGCTTCTTCCAAACACAAATGAGTAGATGGCCGCTGCCATGCAGTACTGCCAGCTGCATCGTTTGTTGAGCTCAGTGCACGGTGAAAATGCAAGTGTCCTAGTCCAAAAGTATTAAGAATCCACGATGGTGACAGCAGGGCCCGTTACAGTGCAGGGTCCTCTGTAGCTACACAGGTCGTGTGCTCAGGAAGCTAATCCTGCCACAGGGCTGCGGAGAGACCTGCCTGTCATCTGTGATGTGGCCGGGCCTAATTCCCACCAAAAGCACTGTGAAAGCCAGACTCCCACCTGAGTGATGTGAACAGGGAGAATCAGTGCAACATAAGCCCAGGCTAAGAATTCTGACATTTTTGTTGCTGGGCTGATTGTCCTCTTCCCAGCACAAACACCGATGCAGAAACATTTATCTCTTTCTGCCTTATATACCTCTCCTCCCCTTCACCAGCCCCTAAAGCTGGCCCTAAGAGCAAGTGTGTCTGCAAAGTCACTTTGCTAGGCACACAGGCATCCAGGTAACAGAAGAGCGCTTTGCAGAGGTCAGAACAGTAAGGGGTGGAAGCCGTCTGGGACTGGAGTGAGGTCCTGGGCAAACATGAGATAGAAACTTCAAGACTACAAATTTGAGATTTGTATCTAGTGACAAAATTATTAATGTTTATATTCTTTCCTCATTGCTTCCCACTGAAGAGATTTCTGCCTTTGCTTCTTTAACGTCTCCTCTTCTTCCATCCTCTCAGGACATTTCTGTCTTTGCCAGCCAATTCTTGGCCCTTGGGACACAGAGCAAGAGCAATAGGTAGAGAGAGACAAAACTTCTTGCCCGTGTGGAGTGGGAATCATGCGTGTGTGCTCAGGTGCTCAGTCCTGTCCGACTCTTGGCAACCACATGGACTGTAGCCCACCAGGCTCGTCTGTCCATGAGACTTCCCAGGCAAGAATACTGTAGTAGGCTGCCAGATCCTATTCCAGGGGGTCTTCCCGACCCAGGGATTAAACCCACATCTCCTGCATCTCCTGTACTGGCAGGCAGATTCTTTACCACTGAGCCACCTGGGAAGCCTTTCCATGGGAAGCACCTAAAACAAATATAAGAGGCCAAAGGAAAGAGAGCAAAAGCAAAGAGAGAAGCCTAGAGGACCCCAGGTTTAAAAGAGTTTGTGGGTAGGGATTGAGAATAAGGTTGTGAGAGAGACTTGAGTAAACCATGAGATAGGAGAGATACAGGAGAATGGAAAAAGGGAATATTAGATAATATTGCTGAGTTCTATGACTTGAACTTCATTTTGATGAAATGAAACTATTTGAGAGAAAGCATTAAAGATGGAAATTGCTCACAGTTACGCTTGTCTGTTGGGCTGGACTATGCGGGATCTGAGTTAATCTTGGGTTACACTTGTATTCTATGATATATTAATAAGTACTATATACACATAGGGAGACATGAATACATGCACACCAAATGATTCAAAGTGCAAGTAAATCTGTGAAATGCTGTATCCCATATCTTCCTCTTAAAGAATCCCATAGCATCCCTTAGCATCTTCCTCTTAGAGAATGCATTAGCATAAAGGCTCTGAGAAGTCCTGTACCACAGAAAGCTAATCAAAGCTGCTTAATCCAATGCTTCCTAAACTTATTCTATCATATGTCACAGAACATATTTTATTGTTTTGAATAAATTTAATATAGCACAATTTTAATAAGGCTGATCTTAGGCTCTCCTGTCTCAAGGTTTAGAGAGGGTGTTGTAGATGAACTATATTTTAACTAGTATTGGAAGGATGGGGAAGGTAGGGAGTAGACAGTTCAGTATATAGAAAGGAATGAAGAATAATGAATAAATAGCTCAAGACTGGTGAGCAGTTCCCTGGGGTTTCAATGCAGAAAGAAAGGATCTGTTGCACTTCAACTTATTTTCACCAGGGAGAAACTCTCCCCAGCTCCTGCCTCTCCTGGTGCGATGTCACATGAGTGCTGAGATGCCAGGCTCTCCGGAGGCAGGGGCTGCTCACCTGTTCTGAACCATGCTCATGGCCATCCAGTCCACAGGGTACACGTTTTTCCCAATGAGGTCCTTGAACATGATGAACGTCTCCATCAGGAAGTCCTACAACAGTAAAGCAAAGCACACTTGTCATCTTGCTTTATAGGAAATGACTGGAAGGACCCAGATCTTTGTGAGTTGTTCAAACTTTTTCTTTCTTCTTTTTTGGAGGTGCAGAAAGGGAAGGGGGCATAGCCTTTCATTATGTAAAGGCAATGAAACCAATAGAGGTGGATTTTCAAATGAAATCTTACAATTGATTACCAGGAGACTGTTTCACAGATATAAGTGGAACATGAATACGGAATGTGAAAACCCTCTCAAAATAAAGCACTGTTAATTCTGTCTTTGGGAGTAAAGGAGTAAATGTATTCATTGATATGGCAATTTTATAATCATCTTGCCAAATATGTATTTGAGGAGGAAATAATCTACACTTATGAATGCATCTCAGGTCACTGAGCAAACAAACTATTATTAAAGTGAAACATCTAATTGCCCTACTGTAAACACAGCTAATTCCTGCGTCACAGGCATGTGCGTGAGCAAGCTAGAGGAAACAGGACAGGGACGCTCTCCCTCTCCTTTGAGGAGGTTCAAAGTGGCCCTCAGCATGCCCCATCAGGCTCTGCGGTGGGGCAGACTTATTCCCCACCTCTGGAGAACACAAATTCAAGGCAAATCCAGATAGCAAAGACAAGAATCACTGACAATGGGAGGAAATGAAGCTATCCCATCCGTTTGCTGTGTGTGTGTATGCAGAATCGGTCAGTTGTGTCCAACTCTTGTGAGCCATGGACTGTAGCCTGCCAGGCTCTTCTGTCCATGGGATTTTCCCGGCATGAATACTGGAGTGGATTGCCACTTCCTTCTCCAGGGAATCTTCCCAACGCAAGGATCGACCTGGCATCTCCCACATCTCCTGCATTGCAGGTGAATTCTTTACTGCTGAGCCGTGCATTTGCTATAGGCAAAATTTAAGATCCATAGGAAACCTGTTCAGAGCTCTTTCCTTAAGCCAGTGGTTTCAAATTAGTTTAACAGCAGAATTCTTTGTTTGGAGAAAATCTTACTTGGAACCTAGTGTATAAAACAGATAAAAGTAGAAACAGCTCTGGTTGAAGTATGCATGTATGTATGTGTGTGTGTGTGTGTGTGTTTATGGCAGAAGACAGTGAGGTTGGGAGAAATATGATTTGAAAATCACTGCTTAAGCTCAACTGTAAAATTCTAGAAATGAGATTGGTTCCTTTCCAGCAATGATTGCTTCTAGGGAAATTTACCTCAGAGACTAAAGTCCCAGTTTCCACATCAGCAGAATGGGGATAACTTCTGCCTCAAATGGTTGACTAAGTGCACACCGTCTCTAAGATGCTCCACACGGAGCCCAGCCTACTGTGAGTGTTCACTAGATGCTCAGGACGATGGTGAGTGTAACTGCTCATCCTCGGGATCACCTGGGGAGGTGTGGATGTTGCCATAGGCACAGTCCCTTCCTGTGGGAATGGAGAAGACCTCTGTCTCACAGATGGAAAGCCTGGCTTCTGATTGGGAAGGTGCAGCATGGTGTAGGCTTTCCTACATCCTAGCAGAAAAGATGGTAACGACTCTGCCTGAAATGTGGGAAGCCCGGGTTTTGTCCCTGGGTCACAAAGATCCCCTGAAAAAGGAAATGGCAACCCACTCCAGTATTCTTGCCTGGAAAATCCCATGGACAGAGGAGCAGGGCGGGCTACAGTCCATGGGATCGCAAAGAGTCAGACATAGCTGAGCGATGAACACTTCCTTACTTAGCATGGTGTAAGGACTGGAACAGAGGTTCAGATCCTCCCTCTGCCATATACTGCTGTGTGACCTTGAGCAAGCAGCCTGGAGACTTGCAAAATGTGACTGCTAGCACCTCAGCCAGGCTGCTGAAGGGATGGTTAAGAGGTGTATAATTCAATATATAGCCATCTGTTTCCTACCATCCTTTCCACCCTTTCTTCCACTGAGGATCAAAAGTGAGGAATCCATTCTGTCTATTTCCATGTCCCATGACACTGAGGAGGGAGAAAATCTTAGGTTATTTAGATTTCCTTTTGCTTCTTCTTCTTCTTCTTCTTTTTTTTTTTTTTTTTTTTGTATAACCAGAAAGAGGTTCCCTTTCTTGCCAATCTTACTCCAGGGAGGAGTCCTCAAAGCTAAATGGCTGAAGGGACAGGACATTAGTTTCCTATTGGTTCTCCACTCTGTGAGCCTGGCACAATTCTGGTTCCCTTGTGTCCTTCAAGGAGAGGTAAAAATGAGCCCCTGGCAGCAGAACCCCTGAAGCTGGCAGTAATAAGGAGACAGGGGCGAAGGTTCCACACTGAGGGTAAAGTGACTGCTGCACTCTGGGGCAGCTTGGGCTGGGCTTTCTTTTGATGACACCATCTGCCGCAGAGGAACAGCCCACCCGCCACCCGCCACAGCAGGGCCCTGTAGCGAATGGACCCCGAGAGGCCAGAGGAGGAAAAGGCTCACTGTGCGTGTCTTATTCTAGTACAATGGTGGCTGCCTTTTACCGGGCTCCTACAATGTGAGAGCTACTGTGCTCCCACTTAATCCCTTCACAATGCTGTGACATAAATGATATGACCCCCACTTTACAGATGGGTAAACTGAGGCTTAAGCAAGGTTAAGGAGCCCACAGTCACAGCTAGCCAGTGACAGATCCTGGATTCAAATCCAAGACTGTGTGACTCCAACAGTCATGTTCTTGAGCCTCAAAATGTCTATGATTCATCAACAAATATGGTTGCAAGTCCTATGTAGACTAGACACTCAGGGCTCACACCTGACATGGGCTGAGATGTATTTCAGGACTGATATATACAAACCTAAATGGGAGTGAGAAACAGGGAGGCACACGAACATTTCTGCAAACTTAGACCCACACACGTAAGTTTCATGGGGAGATATTCTTGCCCTAAACTCTCAAGAATCTAAAGAGCACAACACGTCTCCCAACACTGCCCCAAAGCATTCTATAGACTCACCACGAGTTCAGAGCTGGTCTGGAAGGTCTCAATGTAGAAGGAATAGTGCTGGTCGCCCATCTGGTTTAAGATGGCTGTCATACATGCTACAAAGTGACTCTGCAAGAAATAAAAATTCCATGAAACAGTGGAGAGGTGGACCATGAGATTCATTTTCTCCGTTTACTTGACTTCAGGCTGGAAAACATCTCTCCATCCCAGGCTAGTATAAACCCTCTCCAGCCCACCCCCTCCAGGGGTGGAGAATTTCTTCTTAGCAGATGAGCATGTGAAACTTCTCTAAGAGTAAATTTCTCTTTATGGCTTATTCATCAGCTCATTCATCCAAAAAAAAAAGCATTTATTGAATACCTATTATGTGCATAGGACTATAATAGGAGCTCCAGATATAGACAATAAGGACCCAGTTCATTGCTTCCCCAGTTGCTTTACATTGGGAAAAGAGCACTGTATTGATGTCAGGAGATCCAGCTTGTATCAACATTCTGAAGACAACTGATTTTCTGGTAAATAATTTTACATGTCTAATCTCCAATTGTTCCATCTGTAAAGTGGGACAATAACCCATCCATATCTAACCCCAGAGATGTATCATAAGGATCAATGGCTTCTATGGTGTACTTCTTCTGAGTACACTAAAGTTCCCTACAGGAGCATCAGTGGTTGGACCATGAATCAGCCAGTGAGAAGCCAGCAGCTGTCAGGGCTAATGTCTGCAGGCAGAACTGACGGGGATCTACCCCGGGAACCTGGTAAAGGAAGAACTGACCATACATCTACCCACTGGGGGAAGGCATCAAGAGAGTCTCCTTTAAAAGTCCACTAGGCTCCCAACTTCATCAAAGAGAGCTCCCTGTCAAGGGCACGCCTGTGGAGCATGGGAAGCTTGGGGTGATGCCAAGTGTCTCCAGGGATCCCCACTGCTGAAGGGTGTCATATATAACACACAATAGCTGTGGGTCTAGAAGTGCTGTGTTTGAACCAAGTATTATATCTATATCACAAACTACTATGTTTGTTTAAAAAAACAAAACAAAACCGCTAAAACCAAAAAATGAACAAACTTCTGCCTCTGTTACAAAAATACAATGTGGAAAAAACTCCTCCCAACTGCAGGTTCACACTGCAGGAGCCGTGACAGAAGGAACAGCCTCGATGTCCCCAGGAAGCTCCTTCTGCACTTCTCCACAGGAAGTCTTTTGGGCAACTGAATATTCTTCAAGTTCACGTTCCCAAAAGTAACTCCCAAAGATATGGATTCTCAATTGCTTCGAGGTTCTTTCCAATTAGGACCTTAGGGAGAGCATGCTTTCCCAGTCAGCAGGACTAGCTACGTAATTTGTGGGGCTCAGAACAAAATGAAAATGGAAAAGTACCTGTGAAAATTCCTCAGAATTTAAAGAAGCCACAGGGCCCTTCTGAGCACCGGACCAGGTCACACACCGGGGAAGGCAGCTCTGCCTATGGGTGACCACCACACACACGCATCCTAAGTGTTCAGACCATGCAGAGCTGGCAGGAGTGCAAGGCCGGGACTCGCAGGAGCGACGTCAGTGATACTGCTGGGTGCTGGAACCGGGAGCCTTTTCCCTGGGGGCCAACTGCCCTGGCCACCCTGGAGTCAAATCCTCCTGCCTGCTGAGGCCCCCAGGGGGTGATGGTGAGTCTGTGAAATTATCCATCCCTTTCAAACCAGACAGAATGCCACCATCACTGCTAACTTCACTAAGTTCCACGGAAACCAAGAAACAAGTTTATTATTGTTTATCCCTCTGGCCAGGCTGGATGCAAGAGGGGATGAATCTTCCGAGTTAGAGGTGTGTGTGTTGGGGGGGGGGCTGGGCACACACGCGTGTATCTACTCCCTCCATCTCTTGTGTGAGGAGCTTCCTCCAAGAATTCAGCCAGTGGCCACTAGAGGTCTTTCCTTTTCACATGGTAGCTGCCGTGCAGTTTTTTCGGCTTTTTATTTATTCCTACGTGAGCAGACCCACTACACTTCTTGCATATAAACAGTGAAAATTACAACATAAAGGACTTATTATTTCTTCTTTTGGAGTAATTCTGCTGCTGGCCAAAGCCTGGCTCGTTTTGCAAAGAAAGGAAGGACATTCTCTGCAGGTAATTCCACTGCTTCAAGGTAAGAGATCTGGGTAGGTTTTATTTTTTGTGATCCATCATCCTTTCGGAGCAAATGCTATCATTTCTTGGACAATAGTTTACTTTTAAAGCTTGGGCTTAAATGAGCCCTGGGATTGTGAGCTTGTTTGTGTGTCTGTGTGTGTGTCTCAGAAAATCCACCATGGTCGGAACTGCAGGCTGCCCCAAATGCACAGATACAGATCCGGAATGCTTGTTATTTCCAAAGGCTTGATTTGAATTTGAAGGGGGTGGGGGAAGCAAGCAACAAACCTCAGAGGTCAAGTTGCCTGGAAATTATCTTGAAAAGGCTACTTGTCTTAAGCATTCCGGACAGGAACTTCCATGCTTCATTTTAAATGAAAATAAAGGGGAAGGGGATTCCCGTGCCCGTCTCATTTGGAGAGAGTGATTATTTTATGAAAGAAACCACTATCTTTTTATAAGGACTTGTTCAGTTCATCGATCAATCAAAATTACTTTTACCAGCTTGTTCATCTCTTCATTCTAACTACCCCATAGAAAAACCTGGCTGAGTGCCTTCCAGTAGGATCTGTAGTGTGCTGTGACTGAAGTTTGGACAAGTTACCTGCATTTGGCTGTTAATGAGAAATGACAGTGCTTTACTTCCAACTGGAAGCTTTCCTTCTCTTCTGCTACGGTGTCTAGCCCACGTTAGTATCAAGTCTGTCCGAAATCACCCCCATGTGACTGACTGACTTGTGAAATGGCATGAGACACCAGCAGCAGGTTCGAATTCAGTAAAGGCTCCTGTCATTTAAATTAAAAGCCAAAAGCCCCTGTTCATCATCACGTTGTGTCTCTCCCATATGTATCCCCTCTTCAGCAGAGCCCTCAGCTCAGCAAGCCACCTCTTTGCTCCCTGTCCTCTTCCCCTTTCACAAGTTTGAGACCTTCCGTATCCACCATGTCTGACTGTTTAGAAAGAGCTGTAGGGGTTGGGCGTGGGGGAGAAGATCAGACAGCATTTGCTGTAGCAACTCAGACATTCCTGATGTTGACACTGCTCAAACTTTACAGTGCTGGAGCCCAAACTCCCAGCCCTGCCAGCAACATGGAAAAGCCTGAAGGCAGCCTAGGGAACAGAGGGGTGGATGAACCCCCTGCCGTTCAGGCTGACGAGAATGTCCTTCTTGCCATCCTTGGTGGAAATTTTGTGGCCAACAGATATTTACTACCAAGGCGTGAGGCAGCCACTCATCCATACCCGAGCAGCATTCCAGCTGCCTGGATAGGAAATTGCTCTTAAAACCGAATGGCAGGGGGACCTGCATATTAAATTCCGGAGAGAAATGGTATCTGAGATGCCGGCACAAACCAGGCAGTCACCTCAGCTCCATTCGGGGTGGCTTAAAATGTAGCTAATGAACCACAGCGTGAAGAGACACGGTTTGAAACTAGGTCAAATGTGTAAAAATAAATGCAATCATTGCCGGCACTTGGCTGATGAGGGGCTACTTAGAGCCTTGAGTGGCAGGGCTTATTTGCCATACGGAAGTCTCCTCAGTGATCCACAACATTCAATCCTCTTAATTAATTCACCCCATCAGTAAGCAGGGAGGTCTGGCACACCTGGGAGAGAATTGAAGCTCCAAAGGAAAGCAGTCAGGATCTCTTAGCTGTGTGATGGCAAGAGAAAATGAGAAACCCAATATTGTGTCATTAGTATTAATTAACTGGGATACTGGGTGATTGCGATCAGGAGAGTAGCCCTTTCCAAATCAATTTACTCCTTTGTGTAAAAAATCATCATTGTGATCCTCATATGACCATCATCATCATCCTACCCTTATTGATAAGGCCCATAGCTTTGGTGCACGATACTCAAACACATCTATCTAACCTCTTCTAAAGCAAACACACCTACACACATGGTTAGGACCTGCAGGGCTGAGTGAGCCAGGAAGAGGCGATCAGTCTGCCCTGCCTTGAAGAGCTAACAAAACACGGGGGGAGGGGCATGGTGGGTGTGAATGCACCCCCCCCCCACCTGAAGTTAGTGGGAGTGATAAGATCTCAGAGGGAGGGAAGAGCCAACTTCGGGAGCTTGCTACCTACATGCCAGCATTACTATGTGATGCCAGCTGGTGACACGTTGCCATAGGAACTTCAAATAATGTGCTCTACCAAAATGAAATAAAATACAGAGCGCCAAGGAGAGGAAACAAGGGAGGAAAGTTTGCATGCCGAGGGAGATGAAAAGTTTCACCTATGGGGCCATCCATTTCATTTGGAGACTAAGAGTAGCCGGATGCCACACTCGGGTTGCTTCTCCATTCACCCTCACATCTGCCATGTGGTTATATAACAGATTTGATTTTTAGGTGCAATTGGTACTGTCTTTGTGATAGATCCAGGACTGGAGGTGGGAAGCTACGGTATCAAGAAAAACAAGGGCTCTAAAAGCCCTTCATCTTAGCAATTTGTCAGGAAGCTGAGCAATCTTTGGGGAAAGTAGTGTATGCAGTCTGTCTTAGCAACCATTACGTGCTGGGCACTGTGTTAGGTACCCAGGTGCAGCAGTGAGCCGGATGGATAACGTTTTCTCCAAAGAGTCTACATCTGGTTCTGCCACGATGTAGAACATCAGATGGAGACCTAGGAGCCAGACTGCCTGAGTTCAAATCTCAGCTCTATCTATTACTAAGTGTGTGACCTTGAGCAGGATCTTGCATCTTAGAGTGAAAGGGAATAGAAATAGTTCTTACTGCATATGTTTTTGGTGAGAATTAAATCAATCTGTAGAAAGCCCTCAAAATGATCAGCCATTAGTATTATTCCTGTTGTTGCTGACTTTGGCCCTGAAAAACTGTGCAGATTGACTAACTGAAATTTCTGACCTGGACAGATGAAATGAGGACTCTAGCTACCCCTGACTGTCTGTGGATGCATCAAGCACTCAGTCGTAGTTTGGGACACGTGGCTAAGTGTCCTTTGACTCTGAACATGGTTTTAGTCAACAACACGTCCAAAGAAAAGCTGTTTAGTAAACAGAGCGTGTGTCTCTTTGAGCAGTGCATGATGGGAGGTTCTTTTTATTTGGGACAGTTGCTGGCAGGTAGGAGAGGATGAATGACAAAACTGCCCAAATTGCTCAAAAGCCTGAAATGTAGCCGTCTTCGTCGGAAGCTTAGCACTCCAGCCGTCTGGCTTTCGGAAGGGCCTCTCCTTGTGCGCAGGGACATTCTTTGGTTACCCAGGAATCCTGCTGTGTGACAGACTAAACCAAGCCACCTTCCTCCAGGGAGAAGATTCTGAATGGGCACAGATCCAGGGGTTTTGTGTAGCCTGTTCCACGTCAAAGCGCGACATCACAGGAAGACAGGAAGGAGCCTCTTGGCTGCTGTGCACTCTTGTGCAGTGGGACGCATTCTGTCTGCACAACGAGCAGCAATTTGGAGCCAGCTCTGTGCACCCCGCCTGGCGCTCTGGGCATCGATGATCAGCTCTCCAGAAACACTAGGGCCAGACAGAACCGCAGGCAGAGAGCGCTTCTCACTGATGAAGAGCAGGTGGGGAGAGGCAACAAAGCCGCTTTGAATCCAGGCTGGAAGGGCAGAGTGAACTGGCCACACACTCTTCCTTTGAAATGAACACTTTCTGATCTTGGCTGGAGCCTATGCAGGTGGCTCTGTAGTGTGGGGTCGCTTTAAATCTTCCAAAGGATACCGTGAGGTGTTTAATCACAAAGGGAGGTGGAAGGCAAGCAAATTCTGTTCATTCATTCCTTGGGCTTAGGACTCTACCTTTATCATCTCATTGAGTCATCTCAACAGCCTCATGAGGTCAACTTTATGCCCGTTTTACAAATGAGAAAAGTGAGATCCTTAAAGGTCAAGCAGTTTGCCTAGACAGACATTTAGAACAGGATAGGGCAGGAACAAAAATCTGTGTCTTTCTGACTCAAAAACCTGTGTTCTTTTCGTAAACCCATGATGTTCCTCATCTCATCACTGTCAGCTCCACCTGGGCAGAGGATTCTGTCTTTTATTCATTGCCATATCACCAGAATCTAGAATTGAACTTGCACATAGTATAGGTTCAATAAATAGTTGTAAGATGAAAGAGTGAACTTCTTATAGCATTCTTCATCTTTCAAAGAATGTTACAGGGATAACTCCCCCAAACTCTGAAAAGTTAGGGTTGTGTGTAGAACATCTTTGCCTTAGGAGAGGACAGAAATGAAAGAATTTTTGCTCTACTCCTGGATTATTATTCTTATTCCATCTAAAGTTATGTTTGATTAAGCCAGAGTGAGATCATGGTTTCACACTTTCTTTAATTTAACAAATATTTCTTGAGCACTTACTACATTTCAGACATGGTTCTAGGTGCTTTGGAAAGTCATGAATGAGACTAACAAGGGATTTGTTCTTAAGGAACTCACTCTCCCACTAGGTAGAGGGTCAGGGATGGGGAAACACACCACGAGCCAGTGAATACATACGTAAGGTCATTTTAGGCAGTGATATCTGCTGCTAATGAAATATTACAGAGAAATGAGATAGAGATGGGAAGGGACTTGTTTTCAATAGGGGAGATGAAGGTGGCCTCTTAGAGAGCTGACATTTGAGTGGAGATCTAATGATGAGAGTTGGTCATGTAAAAATCTTGCAGAACAGCATTCCAGGGCAGTTAAGTAGCAGATGCAAAGGCCCTGAGGTCAGATGTGCTTGGAGGGCTGGAGAATCCAAAAGAGGGACAGAAGGTACAAAGTGAGGGAAGGCAAGGAGAAGAAGATGAGGTCAGAAAAACATCCTGAAGGCCCCTGAAAGGTCAGGGGCAGGGGCCTGGGTTTTCTTCTAAGTGCAAAGGGAGGCGATTGATTTGGGTTTTAAGAAGCTCACGCTGGCTACTGTGTGTTTCAGGAACCTCCCTTTGAAGACGCAATTTGTGTGTCTTCCCACACTTTTCCAAGATGCTGGAGTTGTTTCCAGGTGTGACCATGTCCTCAATGTCAACTCTCCTGGTTTGTGGTAG